CCTTTGTTTCTCAAATTGTTGGATTGATTCGGGAAGGAGTTGTTAGGTCCACTTTTTCTGAATTTTCTTTTGTTGAGTATTCTTTTGAAGCCTCGTGTGATGAGTGCAATATCATTATCATCACCTTCCATGTCATCTTCACTCACGGAGGCTGGATCATTTTCATCTTGTGAAACCTTCAGAGCAATATTCTTTCTTACTTTTGCATCCTCCTCCTCTTGCACTTTGGATTTAAGTTTCAACTCATAAGAAATTAGAGAATTAATAAGAGATTCAATAGGCATAAAATTCAAATCTTTAGTTTCTTCAATAGCAGTCACTTTATTTTTCCAATCATTGGACAAGGCATTCAAGATTTTTCTATTTTTCTCACCTATAGAATATTCTTTTTCCAGCACCTCTAAGTCCTTAATGAGGTCATTGAATCTACAGTACATCTCATTAATGTTTTCATGAGGTTCCATCTTGAACGATTCATACTTGGTAACCAGAATGGATTTCTTTTGTTCTCTAACATTCTCACTACCTTCATGAATTTCTCTCAGTTTATCCCAAATTTTCTTGGCTGACTTGCAGCCTTTGACTCTAATAGATTCATTTGAGTCTAAAGCACAATATAACACATTCATGGCTTTTGCATTTAATGTGAGATGAGCTCTATCCGCAGCAATCAGTTCACTTCTTGTTTTTGGTTTAGATTTCTGAGTATTTTCATTTATAAGAGAGGCATCATATGGACCTTCACTAATAATAAACCACAATTCAATATCAATAGATTGCAAAAAAATAATCATTCTTTCTTTTCAACTCACATAATTTGATCCATTAAATATAGGTGGTCTAATGACAGAATGTCCTTCAAAGAATATAGCATTGTTGGTTGTTATCTTTACTCCAAAGCCGATTGAGGTTAATCTCTAAGAGACCAAACTCTGATACCAATTGTAAGGCCCGAAAACAACCAATGAGACAATTAACAAGAAAGCAAGACTGCTTGGAAGTAGAAGAGATAATTAATTTAAAGAGCACAAACGTAACAGTAAGTAAATAAAAAGGAAGGAATTGCAAACCAATTAACCACACAGCTCCTCTTGAGCTTGTAGATTAATTCAAACAAACTATTTCAAATTGATGAATTACAATCACTCTTGTATACAAAGGAAGGTTCACCTTCTCTTTACCCCGAATTCTACTCGGTCAAGTCAGGACATTTTACTATCGCTCAGGACAACCCTCACAGAGCTACATTCATGAAAGATTCACTCACAAATGAAAAGTTTACAATGAATCTCACACCACTAAGACTACAAATCTTCTTTGAAGAGTATTTTCTTACTAAAATTTCTCTAGATCTTTTGTATCTTCAGTGTGCCAAAGTTGTTTGAAGTGTCTGACCAATCACTATTTATATAGGACCAAAAAAGTGCCTCATTAATGCTTCCAACGGATAGAAAGTAGCTGAACAGTCAACTAGCTGTTGGTAGTGTCGGACGTCCGATAGCCCTGTTTTATGCGTCCGGCAGTAGGCAGTGAATTTGAGAAATTTTCTTCAATTCTTTCGGACGTCCGGTAGGTTGGTTTTCTGTGTCCGAAGGTATGATGTAAAATTGAAAAATTTTCTTCAAATCTTTCGGACGTCCGGTAGGTTGGTTTTCTGCGTCCGAAATGACGCAACGATTATCGGACGTCCGATCCTGACTTTTTGAGAGTCCGACAGCTTCAGCATATTTTGTCCTCTTTCAATTGTACTTGTTCATGGAATCAAATAACTTCAAAACTGAAAGTATATCTTGAAAAAATATTAGTATCATCCATTTATTTTGTAAACATCAAAAGATCGGGATCAAGATCAATAAATTTAATAGTTCAGTTTCTCTTTGAACAGTTAAACAAGTCTTCTTTGTCATTTTAGTTTCTGCACATATCTCACATTTATCCATTTTATCATTAATACCAAAAATCAGACCACAAGATTGCATTTTCTTTATATAACTAATATTAATATGTCCTAATCTTGCATGCCATAAAGAAATCGAGTCAACAATATAACCAGAAGAAGAAGCATTCTCATTTATCATATTGGAAATGTTAAGTACAAAAAGTCCCTGATTACAGTAGCCCTTACCTACAAATACATTATTTTTGGTCATTATAATCTTTCCAGATTCGAATGACACTTTCACTCCAACTTTTCCTAGCAATGCTACGGAAACCAGATTTGCCCGAATGTTGGGCACATGCAGCACATCATTGAGAGCCAAAGTTTTTCTTGAAGTGAGTTTCAAGAATACTTTGCCCTTACCCAGAACATTAGCCGTTCGTGAGTCACCAAGGTAGACCACTTCATCATCATCTCCTATAGGAGTATAGGAGGAAAATGTTTCTCGATTTGCACATATGTGCCGAGTAGCCCCAGAGTCTACCACCCACTCTTTGACATTGGCTGCAATGTTCACTTGAGAGATGACAGCAGCAATTATATCATCTCCTTCGGTTAAGTGCATCTTAGGAGGATTACCATTTGCTTTGTCACCTTTATTAAGTCTGCATTGTAATGCATGATGTCTTGGTTTTTCACAATAAAAGCAATTGCCTTTCCTTTTCTTAAAGTTGGGATTGTTAGGCTTGAAATTAAAATTTTTGGGCTTGTAATTCTGGGATTTATTGGCGTACCTTTTATTATTGCTTTGTACCAAATTGGCTTTGAAAGCCATCTCCTTTGCCTTGGTAGCTCTTGACTCCCTTTTGTTTGAATCCTCAATGAGGATGTGCTTCACGAGCTCATCCATGGTATAATTGTTCTCTTTGTGTTTCAAGTTATTTTTATTGTCAGCCCATGACTCAGATAGCTTTTCAATCAGCATGCCTGCAGCGAATTTCTCAGGAAGATTGATATCTTCATTTTTCAAGTCCTCTAGCAGCATTTGATATTCGGTGATTTGAATTTTCATCTCCTTGTCATCAGTCATTTGCCATTGGTTGTATTTTCCTACGACGAATTTTTGCTTGGTTGCATTTTCGGCAGTAAACTTTGTTACCAAGCCTTCCCAAATAGCCTTGGCTTCTTTGCTGTTACAGTAGACGTCAAATAATTCATTAGAGAGTGTTTGAAGGATAGTATGTTGACATACCTTATTGGCATATTGCCATGCTTCTTGAGTCTTGGCATCCGCAGTTGCAGAAGGTTGAGATTCAGTGAGCGCATAAGTTACTCCATGGATGTCAAGTAGAGAGTGCACATGTTTTTGCCATCTTTTAAAATTTTCATTGGCGAAAATTTCAATTTTGAATACATCCGGAAAGAGCTTGGCGAATGGTAGTGCCACTGCAACAGTTGCTGATGAAGGCTGTGGGGTGCTAACATTGTCAGATGCCATAGTTTCTTAGATTGTAGGAAAAAGCGGCCCGAACAATGTCAACATGTGGATACTTGAGTCGTGCTAGAAAGCACTGTTCTAAGAAACTATTTCAGGGTATTGAAATGTTTCCCCAGAATTAAACAAGTCTTCCTCTACTTTGTGAGAGGGACGTAGAACCAGCAAAAAAACTTGTTTCTAACCCAGCAGAAAAGTAAGAACGTTATGAAGGATAGACAAAGGAGGAGGTAGAGAGAGTTTTGAAGTATAGACTTCGTTTTTTGCAGTGCAAAATGAGCCTGGAAACTGGTTCTATTTATAAGCTTCACGAGATGGAAGAAGATAGAATTTTGAAAGCTAATTTTTCATGAGAATAGGCTTGTTTCCCTTGCCAGACTTATTTTTTGAAGTAGTCAGAAGTCTATCCTCTATGGTGATAAGTTTGGAAAAGGTCAAGTCATTTGAAAAAAAAGGCCATCCGAAACTTAACTTTCTATCTGGCACTTGAACTTGCCTTTTAGTCAAAGCTGTGAGAACCCTGAAAATAGACATATAAATATCAGTGCATATTTTATTTGCATTTTAATTCTTTAATAAATTTTAGCACTAAGTCCAATTGTTTTTAAATAAGTACGTAGAAATAAACGTTAGGTGCAAAATAAAAGAATTGTGCTAAACTACTAAACTTCTTAGTTTTGTTTCATTAACTTCATATTTCAATGGTAAACTATTTCATTGATCTAATAATTAATTTCTTTGAATTCTAGTATTGTAATTAATTGTTTTGAAATAAAAGTGTAAAGATAATTTCTATGTAATAAATAATATAATTGTGCCAATATTGAATTATTCGGTTTTGCTATACTAAATTAATATTTCTTGAGTTGGATTAATTCTATTACTTTAAAATAAATTCTTTGATTTCCGATAACTAGTTTTAATCGTTAATAATGTTAAATGTTAATAGGAATTTCCGCGTTAAGATGAAAACCAATGAATTTTAGATAAATATGATACTAATATACTAAACATACTTAAGGCGTGAAAATTTCGATAATTATAGTCTTATCCTTCTTTGTTTTCACAATAAGTGCGTAGAAATAATTTTTATGTGCAAACTGACACCCTTGGATTAAATTATTGTTTCACTTGACTTTATATTACTAAAACGATAAATTTCGAGTTAGATTAACTCTAATTCTTGAGATATAATAATTGGAAATTCTAATAACTAATTCAATCGCTAAATAATATAAGAATTACTAGGAACCTTAATATTCAAGTTTAATCGATTATTATTCGATAAAAATGGTTTAGATATATTAGGATATGATTAGACGTTCAAATCACACTTGGGGATAATTTTTAGAATTAAGTCGGAATTGAGAAGTTAAGTTGAGGTTAGGGAGCAAAGTGAAAAGACTAAAATACCCTTACAATTCCATGCAAACCAAACAAGACTTTTGACCGCAAGTCCAATCACCGCAGCTATTACCAATTCGATACGCAACCAATTCTTATACGCAATCCTTCTCAAAACCGCGGCACCACCTTTCTTCCTCCTCATTTTTAAATCACAAACCACTACCGCAACTCTATTCCATCTTCCTCATCCACGGCTTAGCTTCTCATTTCGGCAACTCCAACACTTCATAATACCATTTCAATTCACATCACTCCTTGTCTCGGTATCATCGACAGGAGCAAGAACCGAGCTGTTTAATTTCTTTTGCTCCTTTCTGTCCGCAAACTAGAGAGAGAGGAGAGAGTCTAGCTGAGCATCGTCCTTCTAACCATGAGCTGGTGAAGGGACTGAGGGCTGGACTTTCTCCATTCCAGCCGCAACCCAGAGCAAGGGAGAGAGAGAGCTAGTGGTCTGCATTTTCTGGGCTGCCAAAGGGAGGAGGATTATTTCTGCTGCTAACCGCGTGTGTGAGCTCCATTTGAGGTAACTTCTGAGCTGAAATTAGTTGGTTATAGGCAAGTGAGGTCAGCTATGGACTTGCATGTGGTGCTTGTGAGGTTAGATGAGGAATTGTGACTTAAGAAATCTGTTTTGGAAAAGAATTAAAGCTGTCGAAAGTTTGAGCTGGAAATTGATACTTTAATTAGCTAATCTGTAATAATCCGAGCTTAGAAATGTGTTTAACTAACTGAAAACAAGATGTTTAAACCATGCATAAAGCTAATTAGCTGGATTACGCTAGAAGAAAAAAAAAAGAAACACGACTCTGCTTCATGCAAGAACATCCGAGAATGGTTGAACCAAATTCTGGAATTGTGAATGATAGTAGTGCTGTCTGAACTTGATTTAAACCAGAGCTGATAGTAATTCCACTAATTAGTCATGCATGTTGGTTTTGAGTACCTAATACAAGGTTTTAGCTGAAGAAAATCCAGATTTGCGTCTAACTTAGCTGCTGGAAATTTTCTGGAATAGCCGACAGACTTCATGTTTGTTTGCATTTGTAATTGCTGTCAAATGGAAAATTTTGTTATGAATTTCATATAGATTGTTAGCTTTAAGTATTAAGTGAAGCTTAATGGAAGAAAATCTGAGGAAAAGTTGAATTGTGGATTGAAACCGAGGGAAATTTTCTGCTGCAAAATATTCCAGCTTGGTCGAGAGAAGGAAGTGAGCATTTAATTAGTTTTGTTTTCGAATTTCAATTCAGATTTTCGTATTGGATGTTTAAGATTTGCTTGAGGCTTGCTAATCACCTTTTGCATGTTGAGCTGAGGTAAGAATTGAAGAAAACTAGGAACAAAAGCTATATAAATAAACTATCAATTGCTGGCAAATTTTATCTTAGCTGATGACAGATTTATGGGGACTTTTTGGTGGAATAATTTATTGGAATTAAGCGTTATTTGCTTTGATATATGCTGGTATGAATGTCATACTTAAATGTATGATGGTTTGAATAAGAGTCTTATGGTTTTAAAAGAGGAAAAGGAGTTTTTCACAAGTAAAAAATGAGTTTCCAGATTTTCGGATTTCTCTGACCAGTCTCAGTAAAATGCTTATATCTTGGTGTAGGAAAATCCGATTGAGGTGCCGTCAGTGGCATTTGAAACTAGAGTCATCGGCCTTTGTTTTGTAGAAATTTCATATTTTTCCTCCATGTGTACTGCTGTCCGTGATTCCCCAAAGTAGGCTGTCCTGTTTCCTCAGGAAACTGAATTCTTGACTTGGATAGAATATTTGGCCCATTTGTGATTTGAATCTCTGAAAAGTGTCTTCTGGGATGTGATAGTATTAAAAATCTATTCTACAACAGTATAATTTTCATAATTGTTTGATTTGTGGAACATGAACTAAAGCAATTTTTGAAGGAAAATATTTTCCAGCATGACCGAACTGGTTGGGACTTTTGGTGAGTTTATTTGCTGGATTTGTGTATTATTTACTTTAGCTTGGTTTGGACAGATTATAATCTATATGTATAGTGATTCTAGCAAATAAAAGTGGAAAGTTTAATGGATATTTTAGATTCTTGGAATCATTTGGATCTCAAGTTGGTTGTAGTTTTTGTTCTTGTTTTGAATGAATTGGTATTTGAAAGTGTGTATTGGTTGTCAAGAGCTAATGATTGATGAAGCCTTGGCCATTTGAATGAATTTATAAGTACTACTGGATGATGAAAGTTAATTGCTGGAATGTCTTGGAGGCCTTACTTTTATTTTTATTTGCTTATGATGGGCTTGCTGAAACCAAGTGCTAATGATTGATGAAGCCTTGGTCGTTCATTTTATTTTTATCAGAAATGCATTTGTTGAAATCTAGGGCTAATGATTGAAGAAGCCCTAGTAATTTGCTATGTGATTCTTGCCATATTTTGATCCATAATATGATTTCGAAACGGAATCGGAGCTGTGGAAGTTGTATCGACCTTGCGAACTCGAGTAACTGTGATCAAATTAATCAAAAATATTTTTCCAGCTAGTATTAGATTATAAAACTCAATATTTAGTGTTTTGCCTGAAACTTTCCATCCCGATAATTTCCTTTAGCTCAAACTAGCCTTGATAGCTGTAGTAAATAAGTTCTATAACTTTTGAAAACCCTAAGTCTTACTTTATTCCTTTTCTTTTCATTAAGTATTGCTCTTGGCTAGTTAACTATAGAAAAAGTTCCAAAATACGAGTTTTACTAATTTTAGTGACAAGCCTGGGAAACTTGCTCGGCAGGAAACCCTATTTTAAGAAAAATAGTTTTTAGGGATAATTTTTGCAAAAGCCGTAACTTTAAAAAAATGTTCAAAGTAACTTTCTAACATTGATATTAAGAGGTTTGTCGACTTATTTCAAGAAAATAATACTAGTTACCCTTTTATAAGAAAAGTAACTCAAGGAAAACTATAGGAAACATTTCTTCTACTTTTGTCAAGTTTTAACCTAAGGGACTCTTGATTTTTCTAAGGGAAAGTGAACTAGTAGTATATTAGATATACCTCAATGTTTATAAGCTTAAAAATTGAGTAGAAACTTATAGTTTCAAAATTTGGTTTTTAGGATATTGCGGGGACGCGGAATTGGATTCCCAACTTGATATCTGAACTCCACTCTTGGTGAGTGTCTCTGCGTGTTTTATGCCTACGTGGTTAAGTGCTTTATCAATTCGCTATGTGATAATTGTCAAAATGAAATAAATGGTTTTTGATCAATCGAAATGAGCAGTGTGTACTTTATCGCACTAGCCGTTCGAGTGGTGACGTGTATGAAACGTTTTCTAGTGAATCCGTGAATCTAAATGCAGTACGTCGTTGGATAAATCCCTCGACACGTGAATCTAACTGCAGTACGTCGCAGGGTAAATCCCTTGACGCGTGAATCTAACTGCAATAACGTCGTTGGGTGAATCCCTCGACTAATTTTATACGGGTATATCTCGAGTATACTGCGTCTTTAGTCGAAATCCGGGCCCGGGACAGGGGAATGAACGGTGATGGGTTAGGATTAAAATAAGTGGATCTACATGGACTATAAGTAGTGAAAGTTGACGGGGGGGTCAACTACGAGGGTATTTGATCAAGCGAGGAGAATGGCTCCTGAGAGCCCCTGTATCCTACCTTGTGCTGTTATACGCTTTCCTAATTGATTAAATTTGTTTAAATTGTTATCCGTTGTTTGATTTATGTGATTGCATGTTTTGGGGCACCACTGAGCTTTAGCTCACCCCACGTTTATTGTTTTTCCTTAACAGGTTCTGGAAACTGAAAGCTGGATGCTTACTTAAGTTTCCCTTTTGGATTGTATTTGAGTACTATAACTTATTCTGTGGGCTGTAATATGTTATTTGGGATAATGTATTTTCATTCTGGATTGCCACTTGAAACTAGAAAATGTGTAAACCCTAATTCGATTACTTGGCCTGTAGATTTGTAATAGAGATTTATGTATTTATCTATCCGGATTGGTATGACTTTATATTTTGGTACGTAGCACGTGGGACTTTTAAGAGCCTCGACTGGCTAATTTATCTCTGCTATCTCTGAAGTTAATGTGGATGTAAGGATGATCTTATTCGGAAAGATTTGTTTTATCATAGATTAAGTTATCCTTTGAAAGGATTTGGGTTAGAATGCTTGCGCGAATCCTGGCGAGAGTTGGGCAGACGGCCCGCCAACCCTTTGGTTCGCTTTAGGGGGAAGTGGGGTCGCCACAAAAGCCTTATCTTTGAAAACTTTTCCATCAAAATAGAAACAACCATTTCTCATGAAGTATTATCAGATAAAGCTCTAGTCCGAAACAAACGAAAAAAATCTTTTGAAATATCAAGTTTTTTACAACAATTTTATCCCAAAGCTGCAAAAATCAATCTCAAATGTTTGCTGGTTGGGTGAAATTCCATAGCTTCAGAGTTGTTGCGATAGTCTAGCATGGAAACTTCTGAAAAATATATTTTAACCTCCAACCTTTTAAATAATCTCACTGTGGCCCAAAATCTAGAAAAAATGAATCAATTTTACCCCTTTAAGCATTATTCCTCTTTTGCATGTTTTAAGTATGTTTTTAAACAAATTATTTCTTGATTTTAGGGCTTAATTAGGGCTCAATAATTTTTGGTAGAATTAATATTTTGTTGGGTTTGGTAAAATAAATCAAGGTTTGGATTGATGTTGTTTTGTTGGGCTTTTTGTAAATGGCTTTTGTTGTATTTTCTGGATTTTGACTTGGGCTTTGGAGCCAAAGTACATGCATGTAGGTTGGGTTGATTTGGTAAAAAATGACAGGCCACCCCGTCTCTTTTTCCTTGGGTTTAAGCTAGGCCGGATGATTATGTGGCCCAGGGAAATGATAAAATGGCCCGCTGGCCTTTCGGCTTCTTACGAGGCCAGAGACAAAAATTATATTTTAGTCCTTGATCTTTTGAGTTTTTTCACTCTGGCCCTAAAACTTTGAATTTCTTTCAATTAGGTCTCTAATTTAATTGTAATTTGGTCCTTGAACTTTATCTTTTATTCAAATTTAACCCTAATCTTTGTAATAATTATAATTTGACCCTCAAAACTTTCTCATTTTTTGAAATTGGGTCTCTGATAGTTTTGATTTCTTAAGTATAATTTTTTCGATCTTCTTAATTGTTAATTATACTTCATTTAAATGCTTTTAATTAGTAGATTTCATCGTTATTTCTATTTCTTTATAATTTATTTGTTAATTAAATTGGTACCTTGATCATTTTGTTGATTTTGGAGTATAAATAGGATAAATCCAACCTCATTTAACCACTATTTCAAGGGAGGTATCTTCTTTTATTATTTTAAATCCTCTTATGTACTCCTATGTATTTTTTAATGTGTAACTGCATGTTTTGAGTGCTTTTTCTTTTAATTACTCATTTTATTCATTTTGAATTTTATTTATTCTATTTAATTTTGATGATTATTTGAGAGGCATTTAAATGTCAAGTTGTAATAGATAGATGTTCAAGACATGTATTTAGTTAAGTTATATAATAGATAGGTTTTAATTTTACCAAAAATGTAATTCGTTAGATAATGTAATAGTTAGGTTATTATTTTTAAAATTTCCCGTTTGGCTTGTAGTTAGAACCCCAAATGTAGTAGTTAGGTCTTTATGCACATTTCTTTGTTTGCATGCTTGCATGCTTATGTGTTTATGTGTTTATTCGCTTTCTTTAGGATTTTACATCTAAATATCATGCCTACGTGTTATGTGCTCCATGTGCTTTATGTGTTTATTTGCGTTAATTATGATTTATTTGTTTATAATAAATATATGACATCACCACATTAGTCCAACGTTAGTTGTGACCTTTCTCCCCGTTTTCTCACTAGTCCAACACTAGTGAGAACTTGTAGAAATGTGTTAGTTCAATGCTAGATCTTTAAACCGTTTTCACGCTAGATTCATATCTTGTGTGATATTTATTGCATTTCATGCATCTTTGTCATTTTTAAGATCTCTTTCTCATATTGCATGGTATTTTCCCTACTATTATTCTCTTACCTTCTATATGTTTGGACTATATCATTTAAAATTGCATCTCATTTTAAAAAATTAGAAATAGGTTAGTCCATTTGCTTGATTAGGTTAGGAGAGTCACACTTCGAATATGGAAAATGGACGAGTCTAGTTTCTTAACCTTAGCACGCTCTTAATCCCTCTATAGAAAGGAAAATTATGTCATGAATTTTAGACTCTCGTACCCGTTATGTTGCAGTCCTCTCTTTTAGGTCATGTATATATATCTACTATTATTTTTCTTTTCTTTGGATTTCATCTTTTGCATATTCGTGATCTCTTCAAAAAATCTTTTAAGAATCACAATTAATGCGATTGATCCCAATTAAACTTTGAAAAGACATTCCGACCCACCCAATATCCCCCTAGGTCTAGATTCACATCCATATAGAAACATCCTAATGTGATAAGTTTATAGATTAAATTAGGAAAATTTTTGACTAAATCTTGCAACTACCCTTGGTTTGATTGAAAGGGTGCCTTAGATTTGAATTTATCAAATCTTTGCCTTTTTTTTCTTCAATCGAGATTTTCGAACTCTTTTATCTTGTTTTCAAAAATTTGGAATCGTCTAAAAAGCGTTTTATTATTATTTATTTGTTTAAAAATATATTTTAGGTAACTTGGTACACCTAAACTCAATACCAAGTGAAGACTTCTATTTTTTTCCTAAAAATCCTTTTTAAACGATTATTTTGGGTCAAAACCGTCGCATATTTTAAGTCCCATTTTAGGCCATTTTTTAATTTATTTTCTAAAATAAAAAAATAATTTTCAAATAAAATTAATCAAAAACTCATTTTTTCAGCATAATTTTTTTTTAAAAAGAGGGGCGCGATAGCTGGCGACTCCATTGGAGAATTTTAGAGAGTCCAAACACTTGGTTTAGTCGATCCTTTTCTTTCTCTTACATTTTTTACATATCACATTGGGATGTTAAGGTTGTATTTTTCTTTTCCTTTCCTTTTCTTTTTTAGGGTTGTTGCATTTCACACGCGCAACCGCCTCTTGTTTCCCATGCATGCGATGAATAATTTATTTATTTTCATTTATGTTATTGCACTTTTGTATTAGAGGTGGGGGGAATATCACTTTAGAACTTTCATGCGTGCTTAATATTAATTCCTCCCCTCAAAGGAGCACTTTATACGTGCATACACTATTTCTTTATAACTCTTTATTTTATTTTCTTTTTAGTGGTCGTCACACCACTCCTCCCTATCAGGATTAGGATCGAACCATTTAGACATGTGGTTTAGGCACGACGTACATGTAACAATGTCTAAGGGATCATTTGAACTATTGACTAAGGATTTTGGGATTGATAACCCTTTGCCTCTTATTCTGAAGGTTTGGGAGTCTGAAATCTTATCGAATCTAGATGCATTAGTGAGCCCAATCTCATGTACCCATATTAGAAATTGTCTAGGATAAAATCAACCTTACCCAATTAGAAACACCAGGTATGAGGGAAGAGATTTTACCCCTCTTTCTTTATTTTACATTTTTGTATCATTTTATTGATCCAACGTTTTATGTGTTATTTATTGAACTAACATTTCTTTATTTTCTTTTCTTTTACATTCACAAACCTTAAAAAATAAGAGTTCTGGTATGGTACTATTTTAAGAGCTCATCTTAGTAGATAGATTCTCACAGTTTAAATTACAAGTCATTGCATTTTAATACCTTAATATTGCACTTCATTTTTAGACCTACCCTGACATATAAAAAGGGTTCCTTTAGGTCATATTTAATTCCCATTATTGCATATTTATTTATTTTGATAAACTGGCATCATGCATCAACCTTAGAGGAAATGTCATTTAGGGAATCTCGCTTTAGGATTATGCCAACCTTTTCTCCCCAGGGCATCTAACCTATTATGAAATTTGCATATTTAAATTTCTGTTAAGACTAGAGGGGTGGACCTCGTAGGTAAGGTATTTGACCCAAACTTTATACTCTAGATGGACAGATTTCGATGAATCAAACAGTTGCTGGTAGTTCCGATTGAGGTTCAGAGGTAGCCCACACTTTTTTTACTTAGTGAATTCCATCAAGTAGCATCTCACTTAGGACTAATTGGAGATCTCAAAAACGTTTAGTCAGGTGGTTATTTGGTAGAAGTCTTGGTATAATTGTAGGACCCTAATTGTTCAGCATTTAGGATAGAAAATCGAGAAGTGACCGTAATAATTGAATAGGTAGCCAGTCTTCTCAATTTGCCAGTACATGGCACCGTAGTAATATTCCCATTTGTGTTCGACAAAGTTGAGTTTGTCATTTCATTGGATTAAAGGAATTTGTAGTACAAGGGTTTGATCAAAGTATAGATTTGAAATTCCTGTTTGACAGGTTTTCACTAAGAGATTTATTTGAGAGACATTTCGGAGATTTTTCATTTACAACTAAGGCCATGTGGGAGTGAAAGAGATCATGGGTATATGGACTTGTCATGATGGGAATTTACCTCTTTCCACGAAGGAACAAGAAGATTGCCTTCAGGATCACGAAACTTATGTTTGATCTCTTCCTTGGGATTAAGAACCAATTATACTCTATAGTACCTGTGAGACCCCGAAATTTTACTTGTCTGTATAATCCTTATGTGAACTCACTTACCTTTGATTCTTAGTTTCTTTAATGGTTGAATTTGAGCCAAGAGAGTGAATTTTGTTAAGAAAAGTTTCATATTCTCAACTTGTTAGAAAATCTAAAAATTTTCGCAGGAGGCTCTGCGCAGCTTTGGAAAATTGGCTATAACTTCGTATAGGAAGATCGGAATTGAGTTCCGTTTGTTGCGTTTGAAACTAGACTCATAAGGCTTCTTACAGTGGAAAATTCAGAGTTTGATTCAATGTCTATAAATATTAGAAAATTGGCAAAGTTGGCAAAAAATTCTGCCCTGCACAAGTAA